TTTGTCATATCTCATAGAATATTTCATTATTAATATGATCAACATTGATGTCTAAATCCTACACTGTCCTCTCTTTTCACTCCTTCTTGGTTATGTTTGTTAATAACAGTAACTGCACACTTGTCTGTATAGATACTGCCTATGTAATAAATACTTAGTGATCCCTTTTTAGGACATGCAGTCCTTAGGCAGACTCTGTCTCAAGATAAAAAAAATATTAAGAAGTTAAAAGGTATGAAGGACTTCAAAAAAAGTTAAAGGAAAATTGAATTGAAAGCTAAGCTTATTTTGGTGAAAGAGTTTTGAAATCCATGCATAAGAGAGGTCTTCAAAAAGCTGATGGAGGAGGCTGGTGCTGTGGCGTAGCGGGTAAAGCTTCCACCTGCAGTGCCAGCATCCCATATGGGCACTGGTTCGAGTCCCGGCTGTTACACTTCCCATCCAGTTCTCTGCTGTGGCCTAGGAAATCAGTAGAAGATGGCCCAAGTCCTTGAGCCCCTGCACCCATGTGGGAGACCCGGAAGAAGCTCCTGGCTCCTGGTTTTGGATTGGCACAGCTCCGGCCGTTACGGCCAATTGGGGAGTGAACCAGTGGGTGAAAGACCTCTCTTCTTTCAGCCTCTCCTTCTCTCTCTGTGCAACTCTGACTTTCAAATAAATAAATAAATCTTTTTTTAATAAAAGCTGATAGAAAAGTATATGTTATAAGAAGCACTATATTTGGATTTTGAAAAAGTTTGCATCCAAATAAACTCATCTTTTAATTTTATTTTGCTATATACCTTTTAAAGGGTCCTCACAGAGTTGGCATATATACCATATTTTCAATAAATAAGTTCTATTCTGTCAAAGAATTTATATAAAAATTTTTTATCGAAATCATATTTTAGATTATGCATGATACCTTATCTTCTTGGCCAGCCAATAGCTCTCCTGTGGGAATTGAACTATTGCATTTGCAGCACTGTAGGGAGAGGGGGATGTACATATGTTGAGAAAATAGAGAATTACTGGTGAGGAGAAGCAAGGACAGTTCTCTTAACCTAACCCAGTGGCATTTTCCATGTTTGCTTGTCTAAATGGATAAAACCAAAGTTTCTTGGTGGGCCTCTGGATGTCGGTCAGATGGTGCTGAGGAGAGGATGGAGTAGCATCTGGATTTGCCATCTTTATAATTTTCTTTGAGAGACCTCTGGGAGAACAAGTGGCTTTTCATCAAGGAGGGAACAAGGCCCTGGGCTTTTCTAAAGCTGATTAAATTCTACATCCATGAACTCATTCTGCTTGGTACTTTGCTGCGACCAGCAACTCAGGCCTTGGCCTTTGAAATAACAGAGTATCTCTGATGAGAGCAAGTTCAAAAGCACAATGATTGCAGATACATAGCAGTAGCCAGCCTAATTGTGTCACTCAAAGGGTGAAATGAGATGTCTGGAAGGGGAAGTCAGAGTGTTCTGCAGTTGTAGTTATAATTACTAGTAGTAGCAATAATAACTTGGTAGAAATATTGATGCCCTGTACCTTCAGAGCCACGTACATTGGAAGGGATTTCACTGTTCCATCCTCCACCAATGCTGCAGTGTTTCCAGTGGGATCTGTACAGGTTCCACAATAATTTTTATTGGATTTCTTCATTTCTCAATTGTCCATTCTTTATACTTCTAAGGCACATTTCTCCATTGGTAATATATTTTCCTCTGAAATAGCTGTACTTTTATCTTGATACAATTAATGTAAATCATTTAGAGTGTTCATTTTATGTCTTAATATGATCAAAGGATAGGAAAGGAAACCAACATTGGAAGTTGTAAGCTTAACACAAAAAAGCATGGGTAGATGTTCATTTCTATGAATAAATATGAAAAAGAAATTAATGATTCTATTGGATATGGTAATTCCTCAGTAAACATTTTTGAATGAATTACCAATTAATGTCATAAATAGAAAAACTAATGGAATAACAGCTATTAACAATGAGAATGTTATGAAATGCCTTAGTGTATATTTTGTTTTTATCAAATAAAAACAGACTTTTTGTTCAGTTTATAAAAGCTAGTAGTTACATAGGAGATTCCAGCAAGGAAGAACTCTATAAAGAGAAAACTAAAATTAACCTCCTGGGCACAGAAGGTTGAGCCATCATTTGCAGCACCTATATGCTGTATTAGAATGCTGCTGCAAGTCTCTGCTGTTTTGCTTTCCATCCAGCTTCCAGTTAATACATACTAGGAGGCAGCAGATGATGGCTCAAATGCTTGGGTCACTGCCACACATGAGGGAGACTTAACTGGAGTTCCTGGTTCCTGGCTTTGGTCTGACCCAGCCCTAGGCATGTGAGGAGTGAGAGTGAAGCAGCAGATGGAAGATCCCTCCCTCCCTCCCTCCCTCCCCCCCCCCTCTCTCTATCCCTCCCTCCCTCCCTCCGCCACTGTGCCTTTCAAGTAGATAGAAATAAATATTTTTAAAATGACTCCAGATTTCTCCATTTAGAAGAAATCACTGATAACATTTTGGTGAATGTCTTTTTAAACAGCTTTCTATGAAAATAAATGCATTAAATTGATACTAAAATATTATACCTGCTGTCTGCAGCCTGAGTGTGGAGGTGCCATTGTTTTATTTAACTAACAGTGTGAGTGATGTGCTCTTAGATTCTTTGTATTTTCCAGCTGTAGTAAACTACTGTAATATGAATAAACATGTATTCACCCACCATTGGGGAAGTACATTAATCCAAGTAGAGTACCTTATAGAGAGTATCTATAAAATGTTGATCCACCTGGATAGAATATATTACAGAAACATAACACTTTATGGTTGCAACAGTGATCATTTAGTTTTCTCATACTCTCTCCCACGTCTGGTATAATTAGTATATATTTTGGAAATTCTGACAGGAGACAACCGGTTAGATCTCCTGTTCTTTCACTGATATTTCTTTGATTATTTCTGTGGCTTATTGCTTTTTTGCTTTTTTTCCTAGCAGCATTTGCTTGATGTCAGCCACCTATTCATCCTGCTCACTGACATTTCAGTAGGGATGCTTGTTTCTTATTTTTCATACTAATTGCATATTGGGATAGTAAGTATTGGTAATGTATATTAAAGATATTTTCCTCACTTATCACAGCTTTTTAATTTTCTTTAAAGGCTGTATTTAAGGCATAGTAAATTTAAAAATTCTGAATGGGCCGGCGCCGTGGCTCACTAGGCTAATCCTCCGCCTAGCGGCGCCGGCATACCGGGTTCTAGTCCCGGTTGGGGCACCGGATTCTGTCCCGGTTGCCCTTCTTCCAGGCCAGCTCTCTGCTGTGGCCAGGGAGTGCAGTGGAGGATGGCCCAGGTGCTTGGGCCCTGCACCCCATGGGAGACCAGGAAAAGCACCTGGCTCCTGGCTCCTGCCATCGGATCAGCGCGGTGCGCCGGCCGCAGCGCGCTGGCCGCGGCAGCCATTGGAGGGTGAACCAACGGCAAAGGAAGACCTTTCTCTCTGTCTCTCTCTCTCACTGTCCACTCTGCCTGTCAAAAACCTTAAATGTGTGACCCTGCTGTCCTGTCCCCCCTGCTTTGTTCTGAATGGTTACAAGTACTATCCAGATTTTTTGTAATGCTTAAAAGATCTTTGTTTCCTGAAGAAATTAATGACAGAACTACTATATGACCTAGCAATCATTCTTCTGAGTATATGCCACAAGCAACAAAATACATTATTCACAGTATCCAAGGTATGGATGCAATCCATATGTCTGTCCACAGATGAAGACAGACAGACAGACACACACACACACACACACACACACACAGAGGAATATTAACTCTAGAAAGAAGATCTTGCCACTAGGAGCATTTGGATGAACTCAGGGAACATTGTGCCTGTTTTGAATATGTTTGTGTGTGTACACATGTGCTCATGTTCTACAGAGTAGATTGTTACATGCAATTATATATTTAATATAGTTTCTGTATTCGATTTTGTAAGGGAAAATGGAAAGCTTTCTCCTTTTAGGAGAATGTATAGAAACTAAGGTGTATTTTAAGAGAAAAAATAACAGTCCCTTAATGTTTGCATGGAATTTTAGTTCTTATTTTACTGTTATTGTTCAATCTGTGAAAAAAGCAACTGTATTTTTATTTTACATAATAAAAATATGATTTAATGTGATTAATTGAAATTCATCAGTTTACTTTCAAAGATGAAACCAAAGCTCCAAGTTCATTGTCCTTTCCACTACACTATAACTCCCTCATTACCAAAAGGCTGCCTAACCTGTAAAAGGAAAAGTAGTGACTTATTTTCTAGTCATCTAAGTTCTCTCTCCATCGTGCTTACCTTTGCTCTTTGTGGTAGAAGGAACATGGCTTTGAAGTCAAACAAGTGGGTTTCAGTTCTGATCCTGCCACTTATTAGCTGTGCATTTGCATCCTAATGCTGTCTTTACCTAGGAACATTGGACAGTGATAGATGAGGGTTCCTTGAAAAGTTCAAGGAAAATATTTGTTACAAAAAAATCCCTAATTTTCCAAAATATTTTGCATCAAAATATGCTTAGTTTTTAATTCTATTTTCCATGAACTTCTCAAAATATTCTCATACTTATAATAGAAATTTGTTACACTATGTCTAGCATACAGCAGATCTTCAAGAATTAACCAGAGAGGCCTTAGGTGGGCTCTCCTGGGATGGTGTCAAGAAATACAGTATTAGCACAAGCTGCATAGGAGTTGTAGATAACAAGACCCAGGACGTAGAGGCGAAAGGTAGTTGGAGTTAGTTTGGAGCCCTGAGTTAACCCACGTACACAGCACTGGTGTTTGGCCATGGTTAGGTTCAACTCTTTTATCTGTCATCTTCATATTCACCTACATTCCAGGAGGCAGTATATCAAGGATTGGATGGCAGGGCTAGAGAAGATCAGAGAATGTTGTAAAGGCATGGGTGAATATTTTTACTGTGCTGAAGATGGATTTGGCTAATCCTGTTTTCTCTTCATTCTTTATAGAGAATGGCACCTGCATCCTTAAATGCTTCCTCAACAGAGACACTGAGTGTTGCCGTGTGGGCAAGGAGTCCGTCTTGATTGCTCGGGGGCGTAGCACTGCTTTGCTGAAGTTTGAATCTCATGCTGGTAAGTTTTCTGCCTATCCTGATCCCCTGTCTTTGGCAAAGACAAATCCCATGAAGCGCTGACATTCCATTTTATTCCTCAGGTGGCTTGTAGAAGTCTGTGTCCTTATGCAAATTGCCGTCAGTTGATTAAATGGTTTATAACTGCTTCTGTGTTTACTTGTTATCATGGCTGCAGAACAGTTCATCTTCTCCTGTGTATGGGGGCTCTTATTCTTATCCCTCCTTTTGATCCTGCTTCACCCAGAGCTGCAAGAGAGGCCACCAAGCATTGCCCACCTCTTAACTCCTCTTGCTGACTCTACCTAAAGCCAAGGTTGACGATGGAAATGTGATTTTTAGTTACCATGAATTCAGAAAGATTTCATCCTATTTTTTGCCTTAGAATCACTTGTTCAGCATTTTTAGATTCTGAACAACAAAAGGCAAACCTCAAAGAAATAAACTAAGATACAACTAAAGTATTTTAAGAGGGTACAAAGTACCCCTCTGGAAAATTTTCAGCAATGCCTTCAGTCTATCTGAGAATCAATTGTCCTTCCTTTTTTTTTTTTTTTTCGAACATTTATTTTATATTATTGTCTACTTCATTGAAAATATTTTCATTCTTATTCATTATTTCTTTTTTATCTCAAAGTTTCCTCATTTTATTTTTTAATAGAAACTTTTACTTAATAAATATAAATTTCATAAGTACAACTTTTGGATTATAGCGGTTCTTCCTCCTATACCTGCCCTCCTACCCCAAACCATCCCACCTCCTACTCCCTCTCCCATCCCATTCTTCATTAAGATTCATTTTAATTATCTTCATATACAGAAGATCAACTCTATATTAAGTAAAGATTTCAACAGTTTGCACCCACACAGACACACAAAGTATAAAGTACTGTTTGAAGACAAGTTTTACCATTAATTCTCATATTACAACACATTAAGGACAGAGGTCCTACATGGGGAGCAAGTACACAGTGACTCCTGTTGTTGATTTAACAATTGTTATGTTGTCAGTGATCATCCGAGGCTCTTGTCATGAGCTGCCAAGGCTATGGAAGCCTCTTGAGTTTGCAAACTCTGATGTTATTTAGACAAGGCCATAATCAAAATGGAAGTTCTCTCCTCCCTTCAGAGAAAGGTACCTCCTTCTTTGATGGTCCCTTCTTTCCATAGGGATCTCACAGAGATCTTTTATGAAGGTCCTTTTCTGCCACAGTGTCTTGGCTTTCCATGCCTGAAATGTTGTCATGGGCTTTTTAGCCAGATCCCAGTGCCTTAAGGGCTGATTCTGAGGCTAGAGTGCTGTTTAGGACATCTGCCATTCTATGAGTCTGCTGTGTGGCCTGCTTCCCATGTTGATCATTCTCTCCTTTTTAATTCTAACAATTATTATTAGCAGACACTTGGTCTTTGACACTTAGGCCTATCTTTATGATCAGTTATGAACTTAAACTGATCACTTTAACTAGTAAGATGGCATTGATGCCTGCCAACTTAATAGGATTTAGAGTCCCATGGCAGGTTTTTATCTTTACCCTTAGGGGTAAATCCGAGGGAACATGTGCCAAACTGTACATCTCCTCCCTCTCTTATTCCTTCTCTTATTTTTAACAGGGATAAATTTTCTTTTCTTTTTTTATTTATTTGGCAGGTAGAGTTATATATAGAGAGAGACAGAGACAGAGAGAAAGGTTTTCCTTCTGTTAGTTCACTCCCCAAATGGCCGCAACGGCTGGCACTGCGCAGATCCAAAGCCAGGAGCCAGGTGCTTCTTCCTGGTCTCCCATGTGGGTGCAGGGGCCTAAGCACTTGGGCCATTCTCCACTGCCCTCCTGGGCCACAGGAGAGAGCTGGACCGAAAGAAGGCCAACCGGGACTAGAACCCAGTGCCCATATGGGATGCCGGCACCACAGGCACAGGATTAAACAAGTGAGCCACAACACCGGCCCCTCAATTTTCATTTAACTTAGATATAAACTGTTCCTGTTAGGAAAAGAAGAGCAGATTGGTGTTGCTTCTCACACGCACCAAAATGTAAGGAAAAGAGACACAGGACAGAGAGGAGGCAGAATACAACTCGCAGCCAGACAGAATTTATTCAGAGAAAACAAATCTGCAGAAGTCGACCAACTGCCATCAGCTCACAGACAAGCAGGCTGGTTCCCTTTATATCTTAGGTGGGCGGGGGAGGGGGAGTGGGAGGGGAGCAGAGATGTAGGCAGAGGTGAGCTTCTCCATACTGGGTCTTCAGGTTTGGCCCACTGGCTTCCAAACCTGAGGAGATTTCAGGGATGAGATGGGGAACAATACAGGGTGTGAGATGGAACTGGTCCCTTGAAAGAAGGCAGAGGTAACCAGAAACCTAACATGGCTGAGGCTTATGGCCTTATTCCATCGGTTCCACCTCACTTAGATGTTAATCCAGTTCTGGGTTAAGTATTGTCAATGGTACAAACTCTCCTGTGTTTTAACCAAAATGTCCACGGCTCTTTCACGGTGGTTAAGTACCTGGGATAAATAAGTTAAACTTCTTGTTTCTAAACTGAATATGGTGTCAGCAAGAGTGTATCTATTCATCTATCAATCTATCTTATTTTTATGATGTATTGCAAATTAAATATTTCATAAATATATTTCATTGTGTTAGTGGTGTTTTAAAATTTGTACAAGTTGTAGAATGACTAACTCAGGCTTATTACATTCCTACACATTTTGTGGTGAGAACACTTAAAATCACTTATGATTTTGAAGAATACAGTACATTGCTATTATATATAAATAAATGTATATATACACACACACACACACATAGTAACTGTGTTGTACATTAGATCTCTTGAATTTATTCCTCTATTTTAACTGAAATTATATATGCTTTGACCACTCCCCAGAGCCTGGTAACCACCTTTCTACTCTGTGTTCCAGTGAGTTTAATGTTTTTAACTGTCTGCACGTAAGTGAGGTTATGCAATACTGGTTTTCCTGTGCCTGACTTATTTCACTTAACATAATGATTTCTAGGTTTATTCATGTTGTTGCAAATGACAGAATTTATTTTTTTCAAAGGCTAGGTGACATTCTGTTCTGTATAAGAGTACTATAGAACATTTGTGGGAAAATGGAGCTAAAAAGTGATTTGGTACCAAAAACAAACACTGAAATTCATGTGAAATTTTTTCATATTATGGTATTTTCACAAAATTGTTGAAATACCCTGGTAAATACACAACACTTTGTTTATTCATCCACTGAGGTTACTTAGATTGATTATGTATCTTGGCTATTGTGAAACATGGCACAGTGAACTTGGAAACACAGATATCCCTTCAACTTAATGACTTTATTTCCTTTGGGTATATTCACTGTAGTGGGCCCACTAGCAATTCTGTTTTTAATTTTCTGAAAAACATAAATACTACATTGCATAATGGCTGCATTAATTTCCATACTCACCAATAGTGTACAAACTCTACTTTCATTGAATCTTCTCTAATACTTTTTATCTTTTGTCTTTTAGAAGATAGCCATTCTCAATGAGGTGAGAAGATATTTCATTGCAGTTTAATTTGCATTTCCTTGGTGATGAACAATGTTTAGCATTTTTTGAAAAGATTTATTTTATTTATTTGAAAGAGTTATAGAGAGATGGAGAGATAGAGAGATATAGGTCTTCCATCCACTGGTTCACTCCCCAAATGGCTGCAATGGCTGGAGCTGCGCCAATCCAAAGCCAGGAGTCAGGAGCTTCTTCTAGGTCTCCCACGTGGGTTCAGGGGCCCAAGGACTTGGGCCATCTTCTACTGCTTTCCCAGGTCATAACAAAGAGCTGGATTGGAAGAGGAACAGCCAGGACTAGAACCAACGCCCATATGGGATGCCAGCACTGCAGGCTGGGGCATTAACCCGCTGCGCCACAGCGCCAGCCCCAATGTTTAGCAATTTTTACATATCTCTTGGTCATTTACTTGCCTTCTTTTGACGATTGTCTGTTCACATCTGTTGCTATTTTTAACAACCAGGTTATTCATTTTCTTGCTATTGAGGTATATGAATTCTACATACATTTGGGATATTAGCCCCATGTAAGATGTATAGCTTGTATATTGTTCTCCAGTCTGTAGATTGTCTCTTTAGTCTGTTGACTGTTTCCTTTGCTGAAGAGAAGATTTTAGTTTGATGTAATCCCTTTTGTCTGTTTTAGTATTTTGCTACTTGTACTTTTGGTTCATACCTCAAAAATCATAGCCCAGACCAATGAGACAGAGTTTTTCCTGTAAGCTTTCCTCTAGGAGTTTTACATTTTTACATTTGGGCTTTCAAGTCTTACATTTAAGAGTTGGTATTTGTGTATGGTGTAAGATAAGGGTCCAATTTCATACGTCTGCGTGTGGGTATCTAGTTATCTCAGTACCACTTATTGAAAAGACTATCCTTTCTCCTCAGAGTATTCTTGACATTTTTGTCAAAAACTAATTGGCTGACAATGCATAGATTTTTTATCTGGACTTGCTACTCTGTTCCATGGATCTATGCATCTGTTCTTATGCCAGTACTCTGCTGTTCAGATTACCATAGCTTTCTAGGGTGGTGTGATTCTTTGTTCTTTTTGCTCAAGATCAGAGGAATTTTTAATAATTGGTAGTCCCCACCCACGTGTATTTCAAGCTACATAATATTACCTGGAACTCAAAATTTATTGGTGGTTCTTGTTGTTCCCCTATTTGAAGTTAAATTTACATGCATTGAAATATCAGTCTTAAGCATACTGTAATTCCCAAAATGTTACTTCATGTCCTTTTTTAAATGATTTATTTATTTATTTGAAAGAGTTACACAGGGAAAGAAGAAAAGGCAGAGAGAGAGTGAGAGATGTCTTCCATCTGCTGGTTCACTCCCCAATTGGATGCATGGCCGGAACTGCACCAATCCAAAGCCAGTAGCCAAGAGCTTCTTCTGGGTCGCTCATGTAGGAACAGGGGCCCAAGGACTTGGCCCTCTTCTAC